CGATCGAAGCGGAGATCGAGAGCGCTCGGGCGAGGTAACTCGCGAAGTGTCGCGCATACTCACTCGTCCTCGGTGTACAGTCGAGCTTTCTTGATCACGGGTGGAGTGTCGGAACGATCGTGGGAAGTATCCTCGTCCTTGGCGTAGTCGTCTCAATGGTTAGGCGGGAGCGGCGGGGCGACGAAGGGGCCCGTCATCGGCGGCGCCGACGGAGTCGCGGGCGTCCCGGATGGGTCCCCGAACACTCTGCGGTACTCCTGTCCGAATCCAGCGAACATGCTCGGTCTCGCGAACAAGGCTTCGATGTTCGTAGGAAAACATTGTGATGGCAGCGGCGGTGGCGACGGCGTCGTTAACGTTGGTTATCGCGAGGAGAGAGAAAGAGATTCGTCGGAGACGCTCGCTTAGAATCGGACGCGCGTTAATCCCGAGTATCGTTGGAAATCGCGCGCAGCGATCGAGACGCGTCTTATATACGATGCGATCTCGATCGTCGTTTCGATATCTTTTCTCTCGGCGTGCGCGTTACGCACGTTAAATAATGTAGCGGAAGCGGTTTAGAACAGCGGTTTGGAACAGCATATTAAATGTAATCTTAACGTTAGGTTTCAGGATTTTCTGATCTTAGTCGTCATCATCGTCGTCGTCGTTGCGCGGTCTTTCGAAGAACGCGTATTCCAGACGATACAGCTTGGAGACGAGTTCGCTCAATCGATGCAGAATGCCATCGGCGGGGCATTCTATTCCCAGTATACTAAGATCGAAGAGATTATCGCGTCGGTGAACTCGCTGTACGCGTAATACTCGCGTTTCTTCAGGAAATAGAGATTACCGACGGAAATAGAGATTAGATCGACGTGGCGGAAGGCCGCCGTTATCACGGATAGTATCCCGGAAAACGTATCCCGCAGAGCGCCATGCCTCGCAGCGGTCATCGCGCAGTCGTTTATCTCAGCTATTTTATCGTCGTTGTATATGACACGCTGCGCCCGGCGTGCGTGTTTATCGCGGCGTTTATCCTAGCGTCGCGGGGAAATCCGACGTATTCGACGGATCTAGACCATCCCGCTTTAAGATGAAAATTCGAATCGGTGAGATAGGCGTAGTCGCCGGCGAATATCGCGATATCGCCCGAGGGTCTTTGATACATGGTCTTTGATGATATGCGAGTGAGATTGCGGGGGAGGAACTTGAAGTAGTCAGCGAACGAGAAGGGCGCTCCGTAGCGTCTCTCCCTCATATCGATGGGCCACGCGTTGCGCGCGATGTACAAGCGACGATGATTCATGATTAGCGCTCCGTCTATGCGCTTCAAGGCGCATAGATCCGTGGAATCGGAGGGAGCGAGCGGCGTCGTAGCCATCCTCTTGGTGGTCAGCGGCATCGCAGCCGTCGTCGTCGTCGTCGTCACGGCCGTCGTCGTCGGAATAGCGCCGGCGATCGTAGGATTCGTCGTCTCTCTTGATCCGTAGAGATTTCGCACGCTTATGACGTCCTCTATGCTCAGTCTGAGCGGATATCGCCTTTCTTCCGAAGGCGTGTACGCGTACATGACCGAATTTTCCCTCATACTGTGAGTCAGACCCAGAGTGTGACCGATCTCGTGCGTCAGCGTCTGAAGGAGATACAGTTTGTCCGACGGAAGCCTGGTCAGCATGATGTGCCACGGCTCTCGTCGACGTATACTTCAATCACTTGATTGGGCTCTCCCGTCGGAAAAAACGCGTGAGCGACGACCGATCCCGGTCCTGTGAACGGCGACGGGCACGAGCCCCCGTTGTCGCTGTTCTCGTACGCGTGAGTGCCGGATTGATAGGATATCAGTATATCGGGTCGCAGCGGGTCGCGCGAGAGCGTCAGAGAGGATTGCTCGAACCACAGAGCGAACGCGCTCTGAGTCGTGCGCAGAGTATCTCTGTTCGCTAGTTTGAAGTTCCACGTGAGATGCGTCCTCGGCCACTTTCTCGTCAACGGGCTGTAAGCGTGAATGTCCGCGACGCCGCATCGCGGCCTGCGCATGACGCAAATCGTTTCCACGGTCAGGACGCCGTTTCCCGGCAGACCATAGTATTCCTGAAACAATGATAGCGCTACGCTCAGGGTGGTCGCGTTGTCCAATGACGACGACTGCTGATGATTCTTCTCGTTCTCCAGAAAGCCGTAGGTTCGAAGATAACGGGACGCCTCCGCGACGTCATCGTAGGTCAGCGTCGCCGCGACGGCGACGAGCAGGCATATCGTCAGCGCGAGCGATAACGCGATGCGCGTCATGGCTCTCGCGAGGAGTTAGCGCGCGGGGGTCGGGACGGTAGCGAACTATCGCGTGCGCGAGTCCTTCGGCGATATATCGCTCCCGAGAACACGAGGAAGTGTCGTACGAGGGGATAAGGAGGAGGGGTGGGGAGGGGAGATACGCTCGGACGCGCGAGAAGGGCGATCGAAAGAACGAACGTTTTTTAAAAAAAAAATGATTCTTTATTCGTACAAAATTTTTTTCGATCCTTATCGTACGCAAAGAAATATATACGAAAGATACACGAATGGATATAAACTAAGGTACGAGATAACGTATAAAGCGACGCATCGTGTAATCGCCCGAAGCGATGCGAGAGGCGACGCGTGGAATAATATACAGTGATGCGCGGGTTAATATATATAGTAATGTATAAAAGACGATACAAACTAAGATACAAGGTAACGTATAAAGCGACGCATCGTGTGATCGCGCGAAGCGATGCGAGAGGCGACGCGTGGAATAATATACAGTGATGCGCGGATTAATATATATAGTAATGTATAAAAGACGATACGAACTAAGATACAAGGTAACGTATAAACCGACGCATCGTGTGATCGCGCGAAGCGATGCGAGAGGCGACGCGTGGAATAATATAGAATGATGCGCGGATTAATATATAGAGTAAAAGACGATACGAACTAATATACGAGGTAACGTATAAAGCGACACATCGTACGATCGCGCGAAACAATGCGGCGCATGGAATAATATAGGGTGATACGCGGATTAATACATATAGTTGTATGCGAAGTGATGTAAAGTGCGTAGGGCGATGCGAGCGGAAATCGGGAGGGAAGGCGCGATCCTTCGGTGTCGAAATCGGCGAGACGTCTGAAATATATAAAGCATCATATTAATAGATCGTACTGAGGTACACGGAATAAAAGAATAGCGCGTTAGACGAAAAGAGATACGTACCTCGATTAAAACTCGTCGTCGTCGTCGCTCGTGTGAGCGGAGCTCATTCCGTCGATTCAAACCGCGGCACCACATTTCTACGAGGGAATCGTTGTCGCAGATATATTCGGTCTTGCACATATGATCTTGGACGAGTGGTTCCATACCGAACAATCTTCTCAAGCGAAATATGTCGGCAAACATGTTAGGCGCGCTCTTCTTCCATTTCTTGTAGGGTTAGGTCGCTAGCACCACAGTAAATCCATGAATATGCGGCGCGTCCGCCTTTTCCTCTGCATCCAACGCTTATTGTGTATGTTTACGAATCCTTCGATCTCGACTTCCTCCTCGAACTGTAAAAAATGTCGCGCGATCAAAGACTGTCGCGTGTCTCTTCGAAGGAGAGCGAAAAAATAAATAACGATGATGAAAGAGTATTCACGTTCTACGTTACTGCTATGTTGAGGATCGCGTTCATGAGCCTCTTGATGTATTTTATTTTCCAGGCGCACATCCACGCCGTGAACATACACCCGTGGAGCATTCTTTGCAATCTCGAAAATTCGTCATCCATCGTTCGCGTGAAAATAACGCTGAGAACACTGAGAATACAGAGAACACCGAGCGCACTTAATAGCGCGATCGCAAAACTTGTTCTATGAATAAATATAAATTCTCGATTGCTCCGGAGGAAGTGCGGAAAATGCGTTTAACCGCGTACGCGTGATACGAGTTAATGTTTATTCGCTAATTAATATTATTTTTTTTAATTTTAATATTATTTTTCTTAGTATTAATATTATTTTTAGTATTAATATTATTTTTAGTATTAATATTATTTTTAGTATTAATATTATTTTTTTCTTAGTATTAATATTATTTTTTTAGTATTAATATTATTTTTTTTCTTAGTATTAATATTATTTTTTCTAAATATTAATAATACTTTTCTAAGTAGGCGATAAATCAATGCGCGCGATAAAAAATTAGTCGTCAATACGTCGACGGGAGTACGCGTAAAACTAATCTACAATGTGGGAAATGAATGAGGCGCGATAAATTAGCCGCTAAGTCGATAAGAATACGCGTAAAACTAATCTACGGAAAACGCGCGAATCATAGCGCGTATACACGCGATGATTCGCGACGAGTCTCTGTTCACATATCGCGCAATTGATCGTGTCTCTCCAACCACCAATTGTGCAGTTTGCACACGTTTTCCAAGGCGCAATTCTTCGCGTGATAGCCGCAGCGATAGAAGCGAGTCGAGGCTAACGTTCGCAGGGGTCCGATATCCTCGTAATCGGCGTCGATGGTCTCGATCGTCAGGTCGCGCTGTTCCGCGACCTCTCCCGCGATGTCGGTCAGCCACGTCTTCTTCTCGTGACCCTTGACGTAGATCGTCACCGCGACGTTCGACTCGAGATCCCTCGAGGCGCGATATATCGCGTCGCGAAAGATCTGCTTCGCGTGCCTATACTCCACGTATCTGTCGGTCCAGTGGAATTCGTGGTGATTCAGAGTCAGCCAACAGGCTTGCGACTTCTCGCTCTTCGTCAGCAGATTTCACGACATCGGCGCGCGAAAGATGATGCGTCAGATCTCTGCCGTATCGCCATCTCCTTCGTCACGAATCGCTCGTTGACGACGAAGCCCTGCAGATCGACGAAGATTGGCGGGGCGATATCGCCCGTGATCGTCGTCGCGGTCATCATCGAGAGAGAGACTGACGTTTATTCGCGTTTCTCCCTGATATCTTCGCGTTTTCGAGTTTCCTCTCTCTTGCCCCATTCGACGCGTCGTCTTACAGGATCTTACGCACGATGTTCGTCAGCGGATTGTACTCCACCACGCAATCGTGAATGATTAGACAGTACGCCGTGGTGTTAGAAGGAACGTTGTCCTTGCAGTCGAATTTCAGACGAACGTCCACAGTTGCGCTCTTAACCGCTTCGTTTTGACGGGAACAATCTATCACTACGAGCCGGCCGCAGTATAGAAATTTGTTCATAGTCAGGAGCGTCTCGTCGCTCGCGGATCCGTAATACGTTCGTCGAAATCTAACGTAGGCGGCGTACAGTATGGCGATCTTGTTCTTATCGAAGTCCAAATTCATATCATCGTACGGATAAAAGTCGGAATTGAGATACAACTTTACGTTGGTCAGATTGCACGCGTCGAATCTGGAAGCGTCCTGCGACAGGACGTTCTTCCTTCCGGTCTGCAACGCGAAGATGACGTAATGCGGTTTCTCGAGCTGCGTGGCCGCTTTTACGGCCCACGAGTGTTTAGTCGTGCTCTGCAGGAGCGGAAACTCGTAGAGATCCCACGAGCGAAAGGGCGCGCTCAGATATCGGCCGCTGTCCAACGTGCGCAACAGCGATAATTTATTGACGTCATTCAACACCACATGCGGCACGCGCCACTGTATCTTCGTGAGCTCGACTCTCGGCTCGTATTCCTCGCGCGATATCAGACAATTGTTGTCGTTTCGCGCTCTTATCAGAATCAGCTCGTGACGCGTGTTGATGACGACGCGCCTGTAATCCTCACAGAAACCTAGCAGCGTGTCGAGAGGAACGCAGAAGTTGAAGTCGCCCGTCGACGCGACGTTGCTCGGTCCAGTCACGAAATCCCATCCGGCGTTCTTCAAGATCTTACCTCGTTCGACCGTCAACAATACGTAGTTCTTGATCGTGCTCGTTATTCCGACGTTGCGATTGCGATCGATCTCCACGCCATCGAGCTCGTAACGTACCTCCTCGAATATAAAGGCGACGCAGTTGTTCACGAGCCACGTCGGTGTCGAGGGCACGGACGGCTCCTTAGAGGCTGAACCCGGCTTACCTGATTCGCCGCTCGACGCGGGCGGCGGCGGATTATTCCTCATCTGTAGTCTACCTTCGACGTAGAAAAAACTCTCGCACGGCAGCGTGTATAGGTCCTGCTGTTGTATGGGTATTCGTATCCCGTCGCAGTATCCGAAGGTGGTGTTGGCGTACGGATTGTACGTGTGACTTTCGATCTTCACGATGCGATCGTGGAAAACGGGTTCCCCGCCGATGCTCAGAATGTCCCTCATGTCGTCGAAATATCTCACGGCTCTCGGTACGACGAAACCCATGGATCGCAGAAAAGCGACGTTGGCGGCGGACAACCCTCCGACGCTCCTCTCCCTCGAGCGCGCGACTCGAGTTCCCGCGACGCGATCGCGGTCACCGCCGCTGCCGCTGCGACGTCGTGGCGTCGGATTCGCGCACGACGAGCATCGCCCCGTTCCCTCCCCCGTCTTCGTATCTCGTCGCGTTCGCTCTATCGTCTGCGTCGCACGTGCAATCGAATCGAGATCTCCTCGCCGCGGAAATCGATCAATCGACCGTCCTGATCGATGACGTACACCAATACGTCGGTCACGAGTCGCGCGATGAGAGGCAGATAAATGATCTGCCTCGGGATCTCCGACACTTTATATCCCGGCGGAACGTCCGGCGCGAATTCGTGTATTGCGTGGGCGGATCTTCCGTTAACGTACGCGCTCGTCGTCAGGTTGCACTCCACGCGAATCATGTTAACCGCGATAATGCTCATGGGCTCGTTGGACGCGTACCATTTGTTCGGTCGCAATACGCGAGACTGGGAAAAACATAATAACGATCCAATATTGTTCGGTTTGATGAAATTAATTCGGTACGCGCATTTGATTTCGCTTCTCATGGTATTGTCGTTACTGCGTAGCGCCAGAACGCGATCGCCGCTCTCGTCCTCCGCGTCCTCGATGTCGTACAGATATTCGTCATCGTCGTCGCCGTCGCTGCCGTCTCTCTCTCCGGTACTCGCGCTCGGCGGCAGTTTTCGAAGAATCGCTCTCAGATACGCGCTTATGTCGCGCAGCTCGTAGAATCCGATCGGGATCATGATCGTCTCGTCGTTGTCGTCAAAGTAAAATTTATTGTTCGAGGAATTCACGTTCGGAATCGTGTTGTAGGTCTCGAAATTGGTCAGCCCGAACTCGTAATCGTCGTCAGATCGAGGGATGGAAAGTAACTCGCCGTGAGTACGTTGCTTCTTCTGGTCAGCGTGAAAATCAGCGACATGATGGCGCGCACGATCGCCGTTAGAGACCGAAGGGTCCTCCTCCCCAATCAACTCGTCGAAGGAAGCGCGGGCACAATTGTCCGCAGACGTTCTGATCGTACGTCTGCTGACAGTCGCGATTGTACGCGATGCGCGTGTCGCGTCCGAAATAGCGCACGAGTTCCTGCGGCGACCGAAACGTCGAAGTAGATAGCGTCTTTTCCCCTTTTAGCGTACGCCATCCGATGCGTGCCCGTCCCCGAGGCGTCGTCCAGGTTCACGATACCGCTCTCGTCGCGACGAACTCGCGCCGGCAACGCGTCGCGCATGAACACACCTCTGAAGTGACGCACGCAAGCGCGCGCGGCCGCGCTATTCAACTGTTCGTTCGTCGTGACGCCGATCGGAGCTACGACGTCGTCTAACGCGCGACTTTTTTTTTCTTCTTTCTAACCGTTCGTCCGCCTCATCTCGCGATGCTTCCGCCGCGCTTGTAAGGCGCGAGATACAAACCGCGACTCTCCATCGCTCGATTGTGTCGCTGCAGTTCCTCCAATTGTCGACGCGCGGCCTTATCGTCGTTCACCATCTTCGCCACGCCGGCCGCTCCGATCAGCGATCCTAAAGCTCCGAGCGCCGGCAACAGCGGTAGGAAGCCGCGGTAGCAAGCCGTTTCGCCACGGGAAGAACTCGTCTTCTCGTCGTCCTCCTCGTCAAGGCCGTTCTCCTCTTGCCGCCGCCGCCGCTCCTCCTCGCGCCTCTTCGCGCTCCGACCATACCCATTCCTAGTTTCGTCTTCGCCTTCATAGCCGCCCATACGGCCGACTCTCTCGCCGAGAGTCGAATCCCCGGCCCGGATAAGCTCGAACGCTCTCGCTCCGAGTGCTCGATCCGCGACGTGCCGATCGGCGAGATCGCCACTCCGCGAATAGGCGAAGTCGTGCTCGCGGCAAACCGCGTCCAGCGGATTGACGCCTCGATCGTCTCGCGCGAGTTGCTTCGCGAGACGAGTACCGGGACCGCAAAACTGATATCCTGGTATATGTAGCTCGAATGGAAGGGTGTTTATAGTTCTATTGAGCGTTTGCTCACTACCGCCGACTGCCGTCGCGGCGTTCTCCGCGTATCTCATACGCCTCGATCGCCGACGCGCTCATAATCACGCCATTTCGTTCTCCCGGCACATGCCGCAGTCTTTGATGCACGGCGGCGGACCGTCGATGTGCGTTTCTTGCCACGATTGATTGTGACAGAAGCAATAACGCTGCACGTCCGGATCGTCCTTCGGATATGGGCAATCTCTCCCACAATCGATCGACGAAATCGCCGTACTTGTCCAGCAGAAGCTTCTTCGGAACATACTGCAACTGATCGACGCTGAGTCCGAGAATATCGGAATCGTTCACCAATAGAATAAACATGACGAAGCGTCGCGCGCGCGCGCAAAAGCGTCGAACGCGCGTAACTTTATCGCGTCACCGTTGACGTCGGACACATCTAACGGCGCGATCGTTTTTTTCCCTCTATATACGCTCGCAAGGGGCGAATCCGCGCTCGTTGCTCGCGCACGCGAGTCTGCGCACTGAGACGCAGATTCGCTCGCGACAACGAGAAAGAGTCGCGAGAAGAGAGAGAAAAAAACGATGCGTTTCGTGCATCAACCGATCGCGATAAGAGTGTCCAACGTCGACGGTAAGACGCGCTCGATGAACGAGAAACCGCGAAAACTCGGTAGTCTGTTACCGACCGCGATTCGCTGCGTAATCTGCGGTTCCTTTAATTGCGATAAAACGAACGTGCTGATAAGCCTTCTGGAGAGCTCGCACGGCGTGCGATTCGAGAACGTTTACTCGAAATTGTTGCATCAGCCTAAGTATCGATATCTGGAGAACTTGTTAAAACCTATGCGGGATATCGGTTACTTCACGTATTCGAACAACGCCGATGTCATCCCGCCTAGCGAGGCGTTGCTGAACTCGATATTCGTGTTCGACGACGTGGCCTGCGACAAACAGGACGTCGTGAGGGAATACTTTGCAACGGGGCGTCACGCGAAGGTCGATTGCTTCTATCTGTGCCAATCATATGCTAAGATACCCAAACATCTGATACGCGACAACGCGAATCCATTGATACTCTTTAAGCAGGACGGCACTAATCTGAAACACGTGCACAGCGATCACGTGAATACCGATATGCCGTACGAGGATTTTCACGCGCTGTGTCGCGCGTGTTGGAAATACCGATACGGTTTTCTAGTGATCGACAAAGATAGCACAACGGTAGATATAGGCGAGGGTTCAACGATTACGCCGTGCCGTAGGGCGTCGCGAGCGTCGTCATAATCGTCGTCGCCGAGGATGAGTCAGCCGTCCCGAGACGAAGGCGATCGTAGAGGGAAGAGAAAAAGATAAGAGAAGACGAGAGGCCGAGGAACGACGTGCGATGATGGACGTCGACAGACGCGAGAAAACCGCGATAGAGATAGCGAGAACGCATGCGTCGATTCGCAGGAAGCACAGAGCGTTGAAGACCGGAAGGATGGGGAGCGATAGCGCTCTGGAGACGCGTTTCAAACTGATCGTTGAACCGTTGCGGCGCATCGCCGAACGCGACGGAGACGACTCCGCGCGAGGCGCGAGCGCGAGAAAGGAGGACCCGGCGAAGAGCGAGATCGACGACGACGACGAGGCGTTCGCGCGAGACGTCAAGAGAACGTCGGCGCCGAGGGAAGAGGAGTATGAGGAAGAGGTCGAGGAGAGCGCGTTACCGTCGCTATCCGCGAAAGGATTCAAAGCTAAGCGATCTCGGCGTCTGGACGCGACGTCGGATTCGCGCGCGGCGACTTCCGTGGGAGAGTTGGAGGTGTCTCCCGCGCAGCAGCGCAAATTCGCGAGTAGAGATCTCCTCGCGGAGCCGCCCGTCGAGGAGACGTTCGAGACGAGCGACGACGTCTTCAAATCGCCCGCGACGTCGCTCGAAATGTCGGTGAGACGGTCTCTGCGACTCCTCGAAGACGAGATATCTTGCTCAATCAATTGGGTCCGTTGGCGCGAAAGTACGTGGACGCTCTTCTCAGCGGCGGCGCGCCGAGCGATTTCGATCACGTTTACGGAGTCTACTTCGCCGACGCCGGCACTATGCTCGGAAACAAGCGATTCGACGTAGGTGCCGACGACGCGATATTCGTGGACGGAGTCAGATACGCCGGCACTCCCGTTCTGTACGAATTGATCTTCAAGAGAATTCCCGACGATCTCAAGTACACGGAGAGAGACAAAGCCGCGTACAGGAGCATACTTCTGCAAACTAACGTCCATAGGCACGAGCACAATATTCGCATGCCCGTATTAGGAAACAAAGGATACAAGCACGTCATAACTCCGATCCTGCAGACGGACAGTCCAAGGAAGAGAATCGGCGGGGGTCACGCTCCGCCGACGACGCGCGTGCCGCGGGCTGTGCGCGTGACCCGCGACACCGTGGACTACGTTCACTGGGACGATTCGAACGAATTGGTGGATCGTCTTCGATTGCTGGACGCTTCTCGTCAAGCCGGCAACAACGCTCACGACAACGAGATCCTGTCGATAATCGAGGAGCTTCGCGAGGCAGGTGAGATACTGTGAGACGATTGCGGAGGACCGCCGCGGTGACGCGCGCACGCTCCATTCGACGACGCGATGTCCGTTAGCAAGTTCGGAGTGTCGGTGCGGAGAAGACGCGGACACTGCCGCGACGCGACGAGCGCTAGATTGCGCGCGAGCGTGGAATCTCTGCGAAATTACGTGCGCGATAACGCGCTGTGCCTGACCGTCTCCGACGTCTCTTCCTCCGCGTCGCATTACAACGCGCGACGTCTCAAGATACGAGGAGTGACTTGGCCGATCAACGGCGACGACGCGACGAACAGGAGTTACGTCGAAAGCGTTATACGCGCGGTTAAAGCGGACGTGGCGAATAATCGCGGGCTTATCATGGGTGTGGGGATACGAGTGGAGAACAACGCGGCCTCGTCGGCGAAGAAAATCGTCGCTCTAAACAAGAGGA